CTAACTGCACATTATAGCGACATTCAACACACCCTTGCGCAACTTAAATTTATATTGTGCATTCACACACTGATTGGTACAAATCTACAAAGTATTTTTACACATTCAGATGCAACTTTGTATTTTACGCAATACTTCATAACAGAATTTGTATGCAGTTAAATACTGCCTAATGATTCATTGTGGGAAAAGGTGGTAACAGGAGGTAGCAGGATGACTCTTTGTTCCCTTTTTTTTTTTGGCAGTTCTATGTTTTTCTCAAGGATATTAACAAGGGACCAGACTTCTCTCTGTAATCACTAGGCAAGCGCCCCGCTGACTCAGAGTGATTAAAATCTACTGTCTAATTGTATTTGTACAGATGACATCAATAGTTGTAAAGATATTTGGGCAACTAAAAAAGTTTAAGAACATGAAAACATGCTTATAAACTTTGCTATCTGAAAACTTCTCTGCAAATTCTCATTAAAACTGCTTGAAATCTTTAACTTCATGCTCAAAGAAGTTGAGGTAAACACACTAATGACTATGATTGTGTGTGTTGTGTGTATGGCTGAGTAAATGTGAGGGAGAAGGAAAGAGGGATGATCTGATCAATCACAAAAACATGCCTTATTTTTACCCTGATTGGTATTTGAACTGGACTCATGCAGAGGGACAGGACTAAGCAAAGTGTGCATGTATCTCTTCGTGTGTGTGTGTGTGTGTGTGTGTGTGTGTGTGTGTATCAGTGTGTGTATGTCCTGAGCAGCATGCATGGAAGTGCAAAACTGACTAACATGCGAATCGTTAACTTGATACCAGAAAAAAGATACTAAACAAACCCAGAAAACGCAAACAAGACTCTTTCGCGCACACCTACGTAGTATACACTGTGCATACAAAGACATACATAGAGAAAAAGACAGAGCTATCTGAGGTTCAGCTTCTGTGCACCAAGGCAATTTGTAATATAGATTTCCTCTATAAGCCACTGTAGAGTACCATTTACCATTTCAAACCCTTTGATTTTTTTTCACCATTGGATAATTCATCTTCTGCCGCTCAATAACCGAGATTGGGACCTAATGAAGGAGTCATAGTCACAACGGCCATCACACAGGTGTTTAAACACAGTTTGGAGTCAAATTCACTGAAAAGCTCATTGGTTTTTGAAATGATGGAGGACACGAAGCATGCAAAGGAAAAATGCAAAGGATTGTGAACAAGGGTGGGTCAGTGAGCGCATAACATATACAAATACATACTTTTTGATGCATACAATAAAAAAGTATTAGAGTGATTAACTGAATCATTTACAACCAGATGTAATCACTGTACTTGCTCATACAGTATCTTGAACTTAAACCCAAAGGTTACTGAAACATTACAGTTACAGTTACAACAACACCGGTAGTATTGGGAGCATTTTTATTAGCTGAGCAATGTGTTTCAGCCACAAGCCAAAACATGCACATACTACTTAGGCTGCATGAACTTTTACCACTTTAGTTACTAAAGCGGAAAGCAGACTTTAGGTTCCATGCCAGAAGGCTCTACTCTGTTTCTCCTAATACTAAAAGGCCAGAGAGGAAGTCCATTATTGATATTGGCAAGATTCTGAACTCATCTAACTTGTCAGTCCATTAAGGTCACCTGATAGGGGTTTGCAGTGTCTGCTTTACTATCTTAGTCATTAGATGCTCATGGCTGTTGCTCCTTGAAAGGCTGTGATGAAATACTATGATGCGATGGGTAAGAGCTGGATGTGAACATTTCTTACACTTTCATATTAATCCATTAAATATAGGGCTATAGCCTGTTTGCTCAGCTTAGCATGAAGTATGGAAACAGAGGGAAACAGCTAGCCCAGTTCTTTGGAGGCCCTGTAGAGTCAGGCTAGCTTGTAAAGTGTGCCCACAGTTTTGCAATCCTGTGTCCACAAAGTTGTGGGATAAAAGAAAAACAAAAAAGGAACTGGAGTTTGGGATTGGATCAGCCAAGTAAGTCCACTTTAAGAAATCTTAACAGTAAAATCAAGGAGTTGACATTTCACAGCTTTCATTGTGTGTTTAATGTGTACTTCATGCCAAAAACAAAAGCTTCAATTTGAGGCAGTTTAGTAACCTACAGTTCAACTAGTCCAAAAATCTGTGTGAAGACTGCAAACTCAGGCACAGATTACAACATGAGTTAGATAATGGTCTCAGAGGCCTCTATTCCCAGGCAATGGGACCTAGCTAAACAAACAGCTAAAACATGAAAGCTCGCTTAGCTCAATAAATAAATAAACATCACAAAGAAAAGTATCTTGAAAAATTACTGTATAGATAAAAACGGGAATCAATCAAAAGTAAACATGATAAAATAAGGAACTTAAATCAAAAATCAACGTGGGTACGGTCATATAAGGTGCATTGCTAGCTGTCCCCGTGGCAGCGAAGCTGAAACAGATGCTAGAGAAGGTTTTCAGCTGCATATCCAGTAAGCGGTGTACTTTCCATTAATTATCCACAGCTATTCACAACAGCCACAGTCATTTTGATGACCTCTGCATAAGCTCATCGAGGAACCCAAAAATCCAAACGGTGTGTTGATTCCAATGAGATTCAAGCAATTACAGCGCTGATGAATTCCCTTGGCAAGTATTATGGATGCATTCCAACAGCTAGCAGTTCACTATCCAAGCCACAGAAACTTTCCTTCTTAGGTAGCATATCAATCCCTCCACGTTTCTTCTAACCGCTAAGATTAATGTCTCTGTCCACACGAAAAGTCTTGAAGCCAGGTAAGGTCACACTGTGGTCCACTAAGTATGTGCACCAACATCTCACTGCAGTGCTCCAAATAGTACATGGCACAACACTCTGTGCTTTTCCTCAGAGAATGGTCTTAATCAGCTCGCCAAGCTCATCTGTATCATTGTCTAAACGCACCAAATACCCCCTGATGATCGCTGGAACAGCTCCATCATTGAAACCCCAAAGTTTCCTGTGTGGGTCCTCCAGGATTACAGGCCCTGCACTGGGCAATAGAACTGTCAGCACTATCAGCTGGTGAACAGCCCCCACTGCAAGAGTGTAAACTGAAGAAAAACCTTTAGTAGTACACTAAACTTGACTTTGCAAGACTTGCAGAACAAACACTAGATGTTTCAGCTTAGTATAAATCACAATGAGCAAAAAAAAAACCCTAAAATGTTCCATTCATGCATCCATTTTCTTAACCGCTTATTCAATTTAGTCACAGGGATCTGGAACTTCTCCCAGCTGTCATAGGGTGAGAGGAAGAGAACACCTTGAACAGGTTGCCAGTCACATCACAGGGGGTTACACAGAGAAGCAGACAACCACGGACACACAATTACACTCCTACGGCTAATTTGGAAGCCCAGTTAACTTAACATGCATGTCTTTGGACTACCTGATGAGAACCCATGCAGGCACAGGGAGAACATGCAGCAACCTGCACATAAAAGCCCCAGCCGCCGCATTCAAACCCAGAGCCGTCTTACGGTGAGACAGCAGTCTATTTTTGAAACTGTATTTTTTAATGATGGAAAGAAAAGGAATTTACTGTATTTATTTGTGAACATTTAATTGCTAAATTTTTCCATAAGAATAAGAAAACTTCATCTTGATGGATTAAGTGCAGATAAAATTAAAACCATGGGGACTGGGAGAAGAAAAACAACTTATTTATCTTATAAGATGTTTCCATATTTTTGAGGAATTTCCCGAAACGTGTCAGCATGAGGAAAAAAAAAATCCTTTAATACTGCAACTTTTATTATAGAAGAAAGAGACCTTTTTTTTCTTGATAATTCTTGCACTAGCAGTCATTGGCACGTCTGCTTCAATCAATAGTCTGACATACCTCTGACAAATGTCATGCAAAATTTTTGATCACAGACAACAGAGAAAAGAGAGCCAGCCACGCAGCAAAGGCAGACATGAAAGAGTTTTCAACACTCGTGAAATAGATGAAGAACTCTTCGCGAGCGCTGACATGGCTTGTGACTGACCAATCAGCTGGCCTTAGTTGGTGTCTTACTGGCCCTGGGCTATCACAATTGTCAAGCCATGGTGCACTAAACAGAAGAAAGGAGAGCCGTGTTATGTGGACTGCATTATTCACAAGGACAGAGTGGAGGAAAAAAACGGAGTAAGGTGAGTGAAGGGGAACAAAATGAAAAGAGAAGAAAACAACAGAGCACATGAGTGAGAGAGGACAGAAAAACAAGAGTGGGAAAGAAAAGAAGGCATGAAAGAGAAAATGAAATACATAAAGAAGAAACTTGAAGGTAAAAAAAGGGAACAAAACACATAATCAAGGCATGAGAGAGCACCGTGGTGTGGGGAAGCTTACGGCTGGATTCAGAGTTTGTCAAATCTAAATGAACATCACTTCCCTACACTGGCTATGGCCCTAATTATCCATTCTGCCTTTGTACAGCGGCAGCTCAGCTCTGACAACTGCTCTCCCTTGAGATTCCCCCCAGCTCCCAGCTAGAACATTAGGGAATATCAGGGAATATTACACCTAGGAATTAACGCTCCAAATCACCTTGCTAGGTTTAGGTCCCGCATATACCCCTCCCTTTCTTGGACAAGATAATCCTGGCTCTAGCACCGGATATATGCCACTAATCATCAAAAAGGCAAGGGGTGGGGGGGTTGCAGGGAGAGAAGGAACAGCAAGGAAGATCTTCAAGGGAAAGGGAGAATAGAGGAGATCATGAGTATTAGTATTCATGTTTATGTAGTACAGTACACCTGGCTTAAATGTTTCATCCAGATGGGTCAGTGAGAAAAATCAATAGGCTGACTGGTAGAAGAGTTAGATAATCGCATTTAAATAATGAAGCGGTAAAACCTGGCATAGCTGTAATTTATGTACACACAGTATCAATTCATTTTCTTCTCAGCAAACACCTCACCTGCGTTGTGCCCCGAGCCCTTTTTAAACAAACACCTGAAATTATTTGGGAAGACACTGAGGTTTGGTGCGTATTTCTTCACCTGGTCCAATGCATCCTGTTTCTCTCTCTCTGCTGTGAGTTTCTGATGGACAGCCTCTGTCAGCTCCTTCTTCAGCCCCGCAGCCATTGACCTGCGAGCGAAAACAAAACAGCCGAGCTTAGTATCATCCTAAGACGAGGCTTATCAACGAAAAACAAAACAAAAACACAGCTTAAGTGAGTAATTCGTTTTTGGTTAAACTGATTTCATTATTCAAATGTATTTTACAAATACATTATTTCCATTAGCGCAAAAACAAACAGAGACAGAAAATCCCGATCCGCGTTAGTGTTTAACGCAGGCCCCGTGAAGTGTGAGTATGTGTGTGTGGCAGCCGAGCTAAGGGAATGTGAAGGGGATCAATATGAAGGGGTCTATTCCTGCCACGCACCGTGCGTCCGTGCGTGCGCGAGTCAGTCAGTGTCTACGAGTGTGTGTGTACGTGTATGCGAGCGAGACTGTGTGTGCCGGCTGTCCTGGCTACAGCCGAATCAATACGACAAATGATTACCATTTCCACAAACCTCCCTCCACAGCCTCACTTCGGCCGCTCTCGGGCCTCGACACTTTATGAATAGTAAAAGCATCCGGGCCTTTTACGGCCAAAAGTTTTTTGACCATAATCTGAAGTTAGCATATTATTGATTTTACAGTTAAAAAAAAGAATGACTAGGCAGGGAAAGACCACAAAGTCAGCATCTGTCTATTAGTTTTTATTGGCTTCTGTGTTAAAACGACTCATCCAAAAATATCAAAACCTTAATAGAAAGCCCAGTATTTACCCAACTAAATCTTTCTAACACTGGTGATAAATGTGATTTATACTTCATACTTAAGTTCATTAATCAGTCTATTAAGTGCTAAAAAAATGCAACTTTAACTTACTACCACTTTTGTCTGTTCTGTCTACAACTTATTATTTTCATTATCGTTTAATCTGCCAATTATCTTTCATTTTTAATTATTTACACTGTCTAGAGCAGTTCCCAAGGACCCAAAACCTAAAGTGTTTTCACATGATTATAGGTTTTATCCTCTCAGAAAGACAAACCCCAAATGATAGAAGATCAAATTTTTAGATTTGAAAGGCTGGGGAAACTTGTTTTGTCATTTCAGATTATATTTGATTACTTTATAAAAAATGTCACGGATAGCTGTTGCATTAAGAGATGGCCGATAGCAGAAGGGTGACAAAAATAAGAGAGAAACAAGAAGGCGATATCTCTAGGCCACCAGTGCTCTCCTTAGATCCTACAGTTTTCCTTGGGTAAGAAGTGAATGATGAAAAAGTAATGATCAAAAAAATTATGAAATATGAAACCTTGATAGTTATGAAGGCACACCAGCAAGAGCTGGGCAATTTTAATTAATTTTCTTCTCAGATGATTAGAAGGCGATAAAATGAAGAATAAAAATCCGTATACGTTTGTATAATGAAAGGAAATCGTAGCCGACTACACTCAGAATCCCTCGCTAAATGTTCCTCAGCAACTTTAAAGCTGAGACTAATAAAGCAACTCATTGGTAGCAAAAGTTGAAGCAAAAGCCGTACAGCCAAAACAAAAGGAAGAGAAAATGTCTGACAGATCGGTCCGTAGAGAGAACATATGATAGGATGAACAGAGTGGGAGAGAGAAGGAAAGAAAGAGAGGAGGCGTCCTGTGGAGAAAGAAGGGGGATTTCCCACAGCACAGATGGAAGCCATTAGCATGGTGCTGTTGCTTAAAAACCTTTCATGTCTTTGCAGTTATTAGATAATACCCGGTTAACAGTAAACAGCATGATTCTGCAAATGGATATAATATGCAGGCACAGCGATTGTTTTACCATACAGCATCTAAAATCGGTTAAAATCTAATAAAATGTAATAATTCAGAATGTAACCTATAAAGTCTCCATACTGAGTTTTAAATTGTCAGTTGACGAGCAAAATGTTCCATGGCTCAACTTAACCAAGAAACTCCCCGAGACGGAGACCGTAGCGGTGAGGTCATGTCGAAGCCAAAGCCGCAACCACAACTATGCGTGCACAAACAGCAACACACAAACACACACTCGACTGGGTGATACATGCTTGCTGATGTCATCACCGCAGCTCTGGTGAAACAGAGAGGTCAACCAGAGGTCTCACCTCTGAACTCTGCGACCCAACATCTGCTTGCTCACCTTCTCCCATCAATACATGTTTGTATATATTTTCTCTCGCATTAATCCAGGAGCAGATAAAAGGGAAAGCAGTTCACATGTTCAGGAACAATGTAACATTTTGCTTTGCAGGCTCAAACAATGTATGCATTTAGAGCTCAGGGCTGTTCTGTTCAACACATGTTCGGTTAAAAAAAAAAAAGCCTACTGTGCGTCGCACGTAAAAAAGTCTAAATGTTTTTGATTACCGAGCTTACGCGAGGGACGGCGGGAAATGGGATGAGAACGGAAGCCGCTTTCCCTTTTTCCTTCTCTTTGCTTCTTACCTTATTTTCTCCTCTGCTAGCTTGCCTTCATTCAGACACCCCTCCATCCGCCTCACCTCCTCTGCACGGGCTGCCAACTCCTCCACTGAGCAGGAGAGAGAGAGAGGGGAGACAGAGGAAGAAGAAAAGTGTGCGATAAAGAGCAACAGTTCATTTCAGACACACTTAGTTGGGATTCATTAGAGAACAGGCCTTATTCAAATAATCACACAACCACAAAAAATGCAAAAAGAATAGTCATAAAATTGCCTCAGATAGCTCTCGATGCAGAGATGATTTTGTTTTTTGAACTGGATTAAAGAAATAACTCTCCGAGATGACTACACACTTGCACGACACTTTACATCTCCTAGCAGGCAAACGTTAACTGGATGATTTACAAAACCTGCATACGGAGGTCTTTATTGATTCTTGTCAAGTTCAGCACGAGTGGGAAAACATGAACTGCGAGTCACCTTCAAAGCGAACCAAGAACTCTGCCACAGAAGAGGCACTGAATGCCTTTCAGAGGCGGAGAGGGAAGGGAGGAACGAACACAGTGCACTGCTTACAGTTGGTCGGCGAAGCAACCTTTTGTTGAGAGACAAAAGGGGTGCTCCCTGGTTTCGTCAATAGATGGCACTCTTTACCTTGAGCAGGCCACTTGAGCTCATACCCCTGACTGCAGCCCTTCAATCACATACCCTTTTCAGCCGTCTCTTCCATCTACATGCAATAAAACCCCATTGTCCTACACTTAGTAGTTTAGCACATTGAGGGATGCATAATAAACCACTAGTCAGGTTTCTCAGCTAGGTTTGCTTTGCAGGCCCTGTTCAGTTTGAATTTAAAATTTAGGATTTGCCCCCGCACTCCCCTCTTTTTTTTGTTCTGTATGCTGTTTTGTGAGTCAATGTTTCTTCATAGCTCTTAAAACCTTTTCACTAAATTCAGTATTCATTGAATATAACATAAACTGTCAGCCATCGGTGACCAAGGCTAGTGAATATTGAGAAGGTCTGTGCGCTGAATATGAAGAGGTGTGTGCGCTCCTGAGTCTGTGTTTATGTGTGCACGTGTGTGTGCGAGTGCGGGTGTTTGTTGAATATTTACGGAGCAGACCTTGACTTTCTGAGTGTGTATTTGGGTGTGTGAAATAGAAATATAGGAAATGTGTATTTCTGTAAGCTTTTTAAGGCCACACAGAATGCTAGGATAGAAGTGGTGGGAAAGACTGAAGAGGAGGAAGCCAAAACCAATACCATAAAGGAAACAATACAGAAAAGAAAATCCACATTTAATAAAACTATGACTAATTTATGGTTTTGTTGCATCAAAACTGTTTAAACTAAAGCCCTAGGAAAATTGAAGCTGCAACTGGAATTGCTAAATATTTAACGATGCGCTTTTATTTGTGTATCTATGTGCATGCATGTGCCCTGCCTTGGCTATTTTACCGAACCTCAAGGTGAAAGTTTTGCTATGAATCTCAATAATCAATAAAGTGGAGATGTGAAAACTTGAGATGGGGATCAAATTCGTATTCAAGGCATTCGCTTTTCAGGTGACCTCAGTGACACCTTCCACCAGGGGAAGCCACAGAGAGAGCAATTAACTGCATGCGCTGACCGTTTACACAAACTCTCTTATTTGTGCCTGAGCTCGCATAAATAAAGATGCGCACAAAACTGAAATACACACTGAAAATTAAGTGAAAAACAAATTTGTAGAAATACGAGGGGAAAAAATGGGCACAAAGGAAGCTGGTCCAAACACATACAAGTCCTTACTTAAATGTGGTATATATTTAGCTTGGCAAGACTTGATGACCAAATACTGACTATTTTTTTCCGCATAAAATGAGGATCTGCAGAGGGGGTGTGGATTTTGACACTTCTCTCTTTATCTTAGTAAAAGCAGAACTGTGATCCATATCCTGAGGTCTGAGGCCCTTAGCAAACTGTTTTGAGTGGCTTCATGAGCTGTGTCCGTAGTTCACAATTTAAGATCTTCAGTCCTTCTCTTTCTTAGCTCTTTGATTCTTGTCTTCACAACTTACGGTGTGACATTAGGCCACAATGTAACTCTCTCCCGATCTCTCCTTCTCAGTGCCTTCGTAGGAGCTTCAAAGCCCATCATGCAGCATCAGCCTATAATCACAGATCTGCGGTCAGATTACCCTGCTCTCACCGCTAACCTTTAACATGAGAAGGATGAAAACCTTGCTAACCCTGAATCAGTGGTTGGGGCTAGGCCCGGCCCTGCCTGGCCCTCATAAAAGCTTCATAAGGCTTCATGGGAGCTTCCTTTGGCTTTGTTGGGGGATTCGGAGCCGGCTAAGGTGCTCCCGAGAGATGTCCCAAAGCCTCCCAAGACTCTTTCTCTCTCTTTCTGAAGTTTCATGGGCTTGCAACACTGCTTTTGGGTATAAGCCAAAAGGTGCAGACACACAGCCGCACACTGTCATGCACACAAATACACCACAAGAAGACCAAAAAAAAAAAAAAAAAAAAAACACACCTCATATGCACACAACAGTGAACACTCACAAAGACAAAGACTAACACACACAAACACACACGCGTACACCCCAACACACTCCCCTCTTGCTCTCTCCTCTTCGCTTTATTTACAATCCTCTGGCAGCGGTACAAGGGCCCGGGGCTATAACACACGGCACCTAATGCTCAAACTGCCAGGTAATCTCATGTCTGACATCCCCCTTTGATAGAAACTGATCAATAGACTCTTGTAAAGGAGTCATTTTCTCTGATGTTTCTACCAACCACTTCTCTCTATCTCTAACTCTCTCTCCTTTTCACCCCCCCCCCCCCCCTTCTCTTTTATTAGCCATACATTTATAATTCATATTTCAGTGGGGCTGAGTTTGCTCTGAGACAAAGAGGGAGGGGGGGGGGGGTAAGGGGGGGGGGGGGGGGGTATGCTTCTTTGTGTAATAAAGAACAATAGTGGTGAAATGATGGGGAGAAATGCCAGTGTTTGCTGCTGGTTCCGGTGAACAACAGTTTTGGGGATCGATAGAGTGTGAAATGGGATTATAGCTAGTAATAGAGGTGAATTGGAGGAGAGAGGCCTGTGCACGTGTGTGTCCGGGGATCCAGACTGGATAGCAGCAGCGCACACACACACACACACACACACACATGCACGCACACACATTCACACGTACAAACGAGTGCACGCACAAACGTGCAATAATGATTTCATCATCTTTAGGCAGATGCACATCAGCAGCACAGAGGGGTGGTAATATCACATTTCTGTTTTGGTGGAAGTGTGGAAATAAGGATATAGTGTTTTTGTTTATGCCGTTATTTCATTTGTTGTCACACGGCATCACATTTATTTTGCATTATAACCAACCTTACAACACATCTTATTTAAGATGTAAGATGACTCTACTAGTCGGGTTTGAATATTTTAAAGATCCATCCCCGCCCGTGTTTCACGAGCAGATGCTATGAAAACACCTACTTAAGAGTACGCCACATCTGATTTTCCTGGAAAACAGATTACGAATACAATCGTCCCTTCGGTACACCTTTATGTGCATTTTCTGTAATGGCTCGTGTGCACTGTATGTTCGAAATAGTGCAATTTTCCTCATGTATCACACACGCCCCAGCCTATTCCAAGAGCCATAAGTGACAGAATGACAGTAAATTTGACACAAGCACCCATACGCCAAGTTTAAGGACTTTTTTCTATCCTTTTTAATCACTCCTTTCTTTCCAGTCTCTTCATCCTATCCTGACACAGTCTGATTGAATCCAGCTGCCTTCAGACACTTCAATCTAATCCATGTGACACTTCCCTGGTTTCCAACTCATTCTCTTTTCCTGCTTCTTTCCTTCTGTCTGGCCACAGAGACCTTTATATAATATCCATTACTCCCAAACTACATTTATATATTAAACTGTAGAAAGCATATCAACAGCATTAGAGGTAAAAATGCTTTGTTAAAAACACCAAAAATGGCAGTTTATCTCGTTAACTGTCTAAATAGCAACATCAAAAATGACTTTGGACTGATATGATTATTACTTCTGAAAACCTGATACTGGCAGCTACTGTGTTGATAATTCATTGATTTTTAATTTACCAGATGAGTAATTTTGTAATTTTACATAACAATTTACAGACGACTGGGTTATAAAAGGCTAATAAGTTATGTAGAGTAATTTAAAGCATCTTAAATATGCATTCCTTATTAAATTATTCTGGTTAGAGTCACCTCAAGCATACATTTTCTTGTTAACTCATAATTGTATACCTGTTTCTGCCTGTCCATATTTTTCTTATCATTCAAACCTGTTCACGTTCACAGTCCAGTCCATCTTAGATGAGGTCTGCTGTTATTAAGCAACAAACAAAATCATCACCACTCAATGAAATGTTTTCATAATACAGAAAGAACCTCGACGAGGGCTTCATGTTAATAAAAAGGCCCTTTGTTCATGACAGTAATTTCTCAAGCTGACTCCTCACCCAGTTTATTCAGACCACTGCTATATCCAGGTAAACAATGCCCCCTTTGTTATAATAATGCATCTTTATTCTTCTTAAGTTATTACAATAGGCTCTGCATTGCTGGATTGTATTTGCTGAAGGTAAAAGCTGAATAATATGTGGTTTTGTGTGTAGAGTAGAGTTGAGGGAATGCGTTTTGATCACAGACAAAGGCCAGGCTACACAGCGTTGTCCTTCTGTCTCTATCTTGTTAATGAGCAGTGTTCAGTGAGCAAGCCAGCCACTGTCTGCCACAGAGAGAGACCTCAGATTCATCTCTCTGCGGACAATAGGTGATTGTGTGTGTGTATGTGTGTTTGTACCTTGGAGAGCCAGTGTGTATGTGCTAATTAAAGCAGTGGGAGTTGGAAGAAATGGCTGCAAGCGTGCACATGTGAGGTGTTTGCCTGGCGTGACCGTCGATGTGTACGTTAATTCTTAATGAGACATTTCTGTGCCCAGAGAGACCCAGCCATCACCATTCCTACACTGACGCACTACTACAAAGGCCACCATTGGCCACACGCACACATGTACAGACACACACAGAAACCAGATCATTACCATACAGCTAAAGCAGTGCACCATTAAATCAAACCTCTACCTACAGCGTGTGTGTGTGTGTGTGTCTGAGTTAACATGGTGTGCAGACAGCTAGCTACAAAATCACCACACTGCTGGCTAATTTGAGCTAACTGATTGAGCTAACAGCAGTGCGGGTGGTTCTGCAACAAAAGACAGGACAGGCTGCGTACTGTAGCTCCTCTGGTATGTGATGGGCTTCTGATCGCCAATAATGTCCAAAACCTTAGCAGCGGGGAAATGTTCATAGAGTGCTAATAATAAAGGCAGGGTGATGAATGGATCAAGCAGTGAACTGACATAAAATCTTTGCTTTTGGTCATGTTGACTTGCTTGTTAAAAAAATGTGGATGCTGACTCAAGCACTGGTGAAATACAGGTTAATTTTCACATGATACTGAGTATAGTGTTAGTTCAGGCAGGCCACAAAGTCAAGCATAGCCATATTCCTGTCAGATCAATTGATCTCCATGCTTGCCCACAGCTGGAGGCTCAACTAATGCATCTAGCTGGCAAATCTCATAAAGGCCACACTGTGTAAGTGTCTTTAGGAACCTACGGCTTCTTCTTATCTACATGCCACATTGCAACCCACTTTCATCCCCACTCTTCCTTTTCATGCTATGCTGACAGATTCATATAATGCGTGCAGTAACACTGTCATTGAACCCTACTCTGTTTTATGTTGGGGTCTGGCTCTTGCTCTCTCCGACTACAGACATCCACGAATGCGCGCCGAACAGCAGAGAAGTCCCTGAACAGTGACATAATACTGAATATTAATAGCATTCTTCTTATAAATATATTAGTCCTAACTGAAATATGTATATGTTATCAACATGAATATACGGTTGACGGAAAATTATTACTTTATGACTAACTGCATACATGGATCAGGACCAACGGCAGCTTATCAGTTTATGGACTGATTGCTACCTGTAACTTGGTGACTGCTGCGCAGCTCCTCCAGCTCTTTCCTCAGCTTTCCGATGAGAGTGCTCAGGGTCTCATTCTCTCTGATAGCACTCTGCAGCTTCTGCTGCTCCTTGTGTAACGCCTCCTGAAGCATCTGGGCCTTTCTTCTCTCCACATCCACCTCTCGGCTCTTTCTTGCAGACTCTTGTCTGGCCTCCTTCAGTTCCTCATCTGACTGCCTGAGGAGTGTCACCTGTACCTGCAGCGTACGGGCCAAAGAAACATCCAGCGTCTGTTCGGTTTAAATATGTTGCACAGTTGTGTTTATAATGTGCTGTTGCCATGTAACAGTTGCCATCAATAGACCTCTAAATATATCATCAGAAATCACTTATTATTTGCTTTGCTTGCTGCTTACATTTAAAGAATTTCCAAAATGGTATCGCATCATATTGTATGGTCCTGAATAAAAACCGAAGATAAAAGATATATATATTTCCATTTAATCTAAAGCTGGAAAAGACAGAAGGTGGTGGAAATGATGGTGGATATAATAATAATAATAATAATAAAACAGAAAAACATTATGAACCAATATAAATTCTGTGTTTCTGTAAAAAACACACACATTTAGCAACCCAAAAAATACACTGTCAAATACAATTTCCTTAAAAAAAATGTTTTTAGTGTTAATGGCTCTGAACTCAGCCCTTGTATGTATGACTGATCACTCATGTAAAGGATTAGACTCTTGTATAATTATGTATATATGCATAATGATAAAAGTTAATAATGTGTACATGCATTATGCATGTGATGAATGTAGATGTATACTTCAAGATATGTGTACCTACATGACACGGACTCATTATGTGGTATTCCACAGGGAAGTTGTGTGAATGAATGGGCAAGACCTGACAGCAAGAGAACCTGCCGCTGTGTGTGTTTGTGGGAGTAAATGTAAGTGTGCGAGCATATGATTTTGGTAAGAGTAACACGTGTTTTGCTAATATGTGACAAACACAAATTAACGTGCGAAATCAAATATTACCGTTTCCACCTACCCATACACGGCTAAGCAAGCGTACACACAAACGCGCGCAAACATAGACACTCACACACTCACACACATACAAATGATGTGTCCAAGACTGCCAGGAATGCTGGCGTTCTGCCAGGCTACAGTCACCACTTTGAGTAATTTGAATATTTAGTGTCCCATTGAGCTCTTAATTGGAGTCAATTTCACCAGCCTTGGCACCGTTTGGTGCTTTAATTAATGGCGAGGCAATTTGTTTCTGCCAGACAATCGCAGGACAATCACATGAGTGGTGGGTGTGTGGTGCCCGTGGAGGTGGTTGAAATACTCCTCTTTGGGAACTCAAACATGTCCTTAGATTGAAATGACTGCATCGCGAACATTTAAGGACAATGGCAGATGCGTCTGAATTTAAAAGCAGACGGGACAAAGGTCAAATTAATATAGCTCTCACTAAATTAGAGGACAGGTCAGCAGATATGCATTATTTTAATACCTTTTGGGCGTTCGCCAGTTCAAGCTCTAAGGATGCCACTTCCTGTTTTGAACGAATCACTTCCTGTTCCAGCTGTTTTTGATTGCTCCGGTGAGTTTGCTGGGAAGCAGCGAGACTTGGTTTCAGACCCACCTTTTCCTGGACTCTAAGGTAAGGAGAGCAAAAGATAATTGCCTGAGCAAACCGGTCTGTAAAAAATGTGCTGCCCAAGTTAACACAGCGTAATAATATGTAGACCAGATAGCATATTAATGATTACTGAAATTAAAAAAAAAAGATTTCAATAGATTTTTACATCTGCCAAGTAACATAATATATCTACTGTGTGCCATTTAGTAAGCAGACTGTTGCGAAAATGAGAGCGAGTTGGGGGTGGAGACTGATGAGAAGGGCATGAAAGGAGAGACAAGGACAGAAACCGAGCAGCAGAGGAGAATGAGAGTTTTATAGACTCTGTTATTACTGTCTCTCTAGCTCTGACTTCATCTGAAGAATAGTGTTTTCACACACCGCAAGGTGTTCAACCTGTGCCGCACAGCGCTGAAACACACACACACAAAGAAAAAATGAGTGCTGGAATGTAGCAAAAACTGTTTGTCCATGTAAATATAAAACAAACTTTAAATATAAGCCTACATTTACATTTACCAGCGTTACTTCTGAATACTGGAATGTCAACAAATCTTATCTCTCAGCTGTTATCACTGAACATAACTGTGGCAGATATATTTTAATGTTTCATTGTGATGATAATACACAGAATGCATAATCCCAGCAGTGCCATGCAGGACATTACCTTCTGCAGCTGCTGTCTGAGTCTTCCTAGACTCAAATACTCCTCATCAGAATGAGAATGGCTCCGACGATAGAGCTGCAGGTCGCACTCCACAGCAAGTTTCTATAAGTAACGAGAGAAAGGGAGAGTAAGTGATATAGATAGTTAGAAAAAACATATTTTTTTAAGAACATCCCGCTTGTTTAAATCTTATTTTAATCGGTTCTATAACCCAAAACACACCTAAACAGAAACTTAAATAGAAACAAACCACCAAGTCAAGACACAAAAGGGCGAATGAATTGAATGAATTGCATTTCAACAGATTACACTTATTTTGGTTTACTAATAAATGGCAGTGGCATTGATGGGCCATTAAGGAAGCACATTATTTTGTGTTACACTCATTTGTGTATTGATTTGCACAGAGAAACATGACCTTGGTGTTTCAAGCACATTATACAAACTGTAAAACAACAAGTTCGAACTTAGCACGTGACTCTAGCTCATAGGAAGTACTATGAGCAATCGCGCTCATGAACATCTGCATTGTTCTCTTAATTACAAATGTATATCTCTTTGGAAAAAAGTGAAAGTGTTACACTTTGTTTTTTACTCCCGAGAGCATCGCCAGGAGTAATGCTCTCGCTTTTTTTTCATAAATTGCTTAATGTATCACTACCCTCAATCTTACCCTATTAGCTGCTGTCCTTTATACAGGCAAATTATGTAAGTAATTCAAAAGTAGACATCTTTATAGGAAAGGGAAGAAATCTTACTTATCTTCAACTGTCCATCTTTATGTTATAGTGAAATATTCTCTAGTCGAATATAAATTGACCAGTAGAGATAGAATTAAGATACTACACTCACAATTTGAGCCAGTCCATGGTTTTCTTCTCCATTTATCCCTCAAATGTGAAACGCTATAACTTCTAAACTGCTTTTATAGTCATGTTTTCTTTCATTTAAAACTGTTTCATGTTTTCCACACTGTATTTCTTCGTAAACAGGGAATAAAGGCAATGGTGATTTTAGGGTTAGCTAAGCCCAACAGTGACATGAGGTAGCGCATTAGCAGGATGTGAAGCTCCATGAGAACTCCTAACCTCTTGATAGGCGCCTTACAATCAAAGTCATTAGCCAGTGTAATAAAGGGCCTGAGATACAGCCATTCTTCAACAGCCTAACTCTTTTATAACCAACAGATTAAAGTTGATTGGATTAAAATGACATTCTGCCCGTCTGACCTTGGCGGCAGCAGTTAAGTTCATCCAAATTAAATTTCTCCGTAATAAAGATGATTCATTTGTTGCCTGACGTAGTAAATATAAAACAGAAAGGGGGAAAAAAAGAAGAAGAAAAGATTAAGTGACACACGCCAGTGCACAGATGCACAAATGCGCACTAGTACACACACACATATACATGCGTGCGTACAATGACACAAGCACACAGAGCAATATATCCATGCATGCACTTGTACAGCATGATTGGAGCTGGCAAGCACCTGGGTGCACTTGCGAAAATAGAGAGACACCCATCGGAGTTAACCCCAAAAAAACAAGGCATGTATTCAAAACCTAGTTTTTAAGGAGGTGGGTGCATCCATGAAAAAATACATAGTGAGACAGTAAAGTGTGCAACAGCATTAGTTTCTTAGTTTGAAATGAAAGGCTGAACTGGTTTATGACCGAGTTTTCCACTGATCTCACAGTCAACCTCATTTGTTACGTGACATGATTACACAGAATTAGTGTATACAATGAATCACACTGTTTTCAGATGTTTCATTAAGTGGAAGGAAAACAACTCTTTTGCAAGAAAGGTTAATACTATTTGTTACACAAGCAAATCAGGTTGTCCACATAGATATAAAGGATTAACTATGTTCATGTATTTGTACGTGTGTTTGTGTCTGCATTACGTAAATGTTTTCCCAAACCTGCTGATTGAGTGTGTCCATCTGCTCCTGAAGGGATCTCATCAGGTTTTTGAAGTGCTCCAGTTTTTCTTCACTCTCTCTTAGCAGGTTGTGACTGGCCTGAAGTTCATCTGTTAGTTGGTCAAGAGCCTCCTGTGAATTCTCCCACTGGCCAACCTTTTCCTGATACTGGCGCTCCAGCTCAGCTAGCTCTTCCTTCAGCGAAGAAGCTGCTAACTGCGACTCTCTTAGCTGCCATTAAAACAGGTAGTCAGACTCAAAATTAAAGACATATTAGACAAAACGTATGTACGTATTTAAAGGCTATATCGGCCATTATTAACCTTTTCCTGTGAATATTGTAGTTCCTCCTCCAGACGTTCCACATGCTCTTGCACCCTGCGCGCCTTCTCTATTGCTGCCGTGCATTTCTGCTTAAAAATCGCAGCCGTTTCTTTCTGCTCCTGGGTGTGCAAATTGGCCTCTTTGAGCTCATCCTTGGATTCTTTCAGCTGCTGATTAAGAAGTTCCACCTCCTCCTTCTCCTTATTCAGCTTCTTTTCAACTGTATCAGCCTGAGAGCAAAATCAAACAGAGTACAGATGCTGATGTTGACCTTTGTTTTTCAATAAAGACGATGAAAGCAGTCAAATTTAAAAAGACACAGTGGCACGTGTGAATGTGTGAAAAAAAAGCAATATGAAGTAGGAAGCAATAAATAATCTTGCAAAACGTAAACTTTTATATTACATAAACTATTACAGCAGCAACCATCATCATCATTATCATTATGCTAAAATTCAAACAGTGAAACCAAAGCCATTACTCAATGCTTCGTGACTAAACGTGCCTTAAAAAGCTACTTGAACAGACCCATGCTAGTTTGTTTAACATTAATTTACTGCACTGCTCTACAGTAACCTCTGTCATAATGAAAGGGGAACTCAGGAAGTGAAACCGGGCTTAATCCTGCCGTTATACTAGGAATCCTACCGTAGCTCACCTTTCAAGGGGAGAGGTTGAGAAAGTTAAACCCGCTCTAACACTCAGCTTGAGTTCATCCACATTAATCCCGCTGTAATCTGGATCAGAACACGAGGGTTTTACGACTAATGACAGCCAACTAGTTAGATTTCAGCGGTTCACTGCAGCTCGGTTTAACCAGGGATTAACTGGGCCCGCAGGACTAACACTGGATTGAAGGTGGCACGAGAGAGAACTTGCTCATGCAAAAGGAAGAAAGAGACAAACCAGAGGAGAGGAGTCATCGACTCTTACTCTCTGTTTTAGAGTGGAAAGACTGAACAACCTGTGTAGGTGTACGGCCGCGTGCGTGGACTGCTTAAAAGCATTGACTCAGCCCATGCAGCCTCTGTTTTATCTGAGCGTGATGGTGGTGAATGGTGAATGTTTGACGAGGTTGTCTGAGGTAACAGTTTTAAAAATAATCACACGGAGAAGAACCACACGCTATAAAGTGAGACGTCGTACGTCGGCTTTACATATCAAAGCTGTATTTATTACTTGCTCTACTTGTGTCACTGTATTTCTCTCCTTTAATGAATTCACTATCCTACAGGCCAAACACTAATGGTGGACTTTGCATTTCTTTCTGTTACTGGATGAAAGGCCTCATAACAAGACTTAATGGGGACACTATGGCTTTCTTGTGACCATAATCAGGAGCGTGTGCTTTGGGGAAACAAACAACCCTCATTAAACATGATGGAAAACACATCTGACCCTCATGACCTGACAAGCCTCATTTGGCCAGATGTTTGAGTATTCACTGCCGTCACATGACTACCCAAGTTGACCCTAAGTTGATAATAACTTTATTCTTGGTCTACATTTCCCTGTCTGTATTCATGCTTAGTTCCAATTAGATGTGAGAGTTTCACAAACAGTAGAGTCATCGTGTCTTGTTTAGTAATTCAGATGATGTAGATTGGAATATATGTAAGATGACTACAAAATAAAGCTTGTCTGCCGCAAGCGAGTCGGTTTGCCGTTCCTGGCAGAAAACTCTGACTACTTGATTGTCTACCGTGATTTAGAGCGCTCGCACTCAAACGCACAAGTGCATCCGATTTTTCCTTTTATGTTCCTCATTGGATTATCGCAGTAGATGGCTTTTCGGTTGGATTATGTCTCAGCCGACAGACAAGTGAGCACACAAAAGAGTCGACTTCTGCGCCGTTATGGACCTCCGACTTAAACCGTCCTTGAGCTTTGTGACCTCCGGCTCTCGGTCTTTCAGCCTGCTGTGCATTTGGCCGAGCTCAGAGTTGTTCTGCTTCAGTCGGCTGTGAAGCACGGAGCCGGTCCCCCCTCCGGGTTACGCTTTAATTTTGTGAGCCTGTTTCACGACTTCCCGGTCAGAGTTCAACTGATCCATAGATTTCACAAGAAGTGAGCAAAGGTGAAGAGGAGAGGAGAGAGTTTCTCTTTACCTGTTGCTCCTTAATACAGAGCTGCTCTTGTAGCTGCTGTTGTTCTTTCTCCTTCTGCTCTCTAAGGTGCTCGATATCGCTGACCTTTTCGCTTAACTGACAGGCCTCTTCCTTGTGCGCTCTAATCGTGCAGTTTAAGTGTCTTACCTCTTCCTCCAGAGCTGTCACCTGAGCCAAAAGAAAGAGAAAAAAAGATGAAAATTGAGACGAGGAAAGCTTTACGCTGGGATACTATGCACACCCAGACAGACAGAAAAGACAGTGAGGGGGTGGCAGTAACCAAAAAGTGAGTGTCAGGTTTGAGTCAGAGAGTTTCCCAGTTTAGTCTCAGGACCAGCTGGGAAAATGTAGGCACAGCATGAATGAGTAACGATTCCCTTTTCCTTAGCTCCAACTTTCGCAGAGCCTTTGAGCAAGGTGCTACACCTCCCATTGCTCTGATGGAGCTGCTCGATAGCCAACAGTAGAAGACTGCTGCTGGTTTGGGCACTTCCCTTGAGTAGATGTGTGCAACTCTGTGGGTGTAAAGCAAGGAAGTGTTGAAAAAATAGGGGTGATCACTGAACCTAGCCTCGGCATATGAAAGAAAAATAAAAAAAATTGTAGGAGAGAATTGAAAGCCCTAAGACAAATTTCAAACCCAAAAAGCAAAACATAATATAAAAAAGAAAGCGCCTTTTTCATAAAATACTGCTTAAAAACGGCCAAATATGCAGTTTTAAAGGGAAAAACATGGAGTTTCCATTTCTCCCAATTGTATTTTTTAATCTCTAAAAACTGCATGACACAACCTGAAAAGTGAACGCAGACGAGCCACCGCACCTGCTTCTGTGTTCCTCGATGCTTCTGTTCAGCTGTCTTCATTTCGGCTCTGAGCTGCAGAATTAACTCATCTCTACTTCGAACCTGAAAACAGAGAAAATTAACAAAATTAATAAAAACGTGCATTTAAATAAGTTGCACGTCCTGGCATTTTAGCCTCTCCAGTTCCTTTAATTAAACAGACAGAGAGAGATGGACCTCAAGGTGTGAGGTGTGGAGTTTGTGGCTCAGAGCCAAGTCAGCCTCCAGTTTGGCTTTGCTCCGGTCGAGGTGGGCACACTCTTTGCTTTGGTCCTCCATCAGGATTCTCAGCTCATCCCTCTCCTCACGGAGCTTCTCCAAAGACCTGTCTTTTCGAAGCAACTGTTACATTTGCACATAAATTTGCATCCGCACCAGGGGAAAAAGCTTTAAATGCCCAAAGATAAACATGTAATGAAACAATATTAATTATAAACCCACTCAACATTATCCAACAAACAATTAAAAACAGGATGCGTTAAAAAGTGATTCCATTATCAAATTTCAGTGTGGTTAACAATAATCATGAAAAATGAAACTGATGGGGGTTTTTTTACCTCTTTTTGACACTCTGAGTGTTGTCCCTTACTTTCTGTGAGCTCCTTCATCAGTGTACAAATCTTAACCTCCCTCTTCTGTATCTGTAAGATGAAAGCATTTAATCACACATCAAACACCCATTTTTTTGTTGCTTTTGTTTTTTAAATCGCAAAGCCACAGCCGATCTCATAAGATTCGGACAAGGGAACGTCGTGTTAAGAACATTCGCTGGCGACTCTGTCACCGTTTACTGAACTCGAGATAAAATATTCGAGTTGTTGTTTTCATATTTGTGTGTTTCAGGTAATGGTGGCGGTGATGGGTGAATGACACTGCATACAGGGAAACGGTTGTTGATGCTTCTCTTGAGTATACGCTACGTCTCACAGTAGCTTGTGTTTGTCTGTTTCCTTGGTGACCTTCCCTAATTACCCACTTCTGCTCGATGCCAAATGAGTGCGTGAGCGTGTGCGTCTGCATGTCTGTGTGCGCTTTCATGTGGGTGTGATTCCTTATAAGTTTGCCTCGGGGAAATGTTTTGGACATTTTTTGTTCTCATTTTTCTTCTGTACGTGTTCACCGACTTCCTACCTCGCCACGGTCTTTTTCTCATTGAGGTTGGTGAGAACGGCCAGGTTTGGGTGTCGAGCCAAAAAGTTTCTTTTTAACTCTGGGATATTTTTGCGATGGCTTATTAACATTTTAAAGATGTTAAGTTGTTCTTTTAACCTTTCTATGACTGAAACGTGAATCTGATCATCTCCAAAACAAAAAACAAAATCAGCGGCCAGTATTTGGGAGTTGAAGACCGAGAGGAATAGGATGCTCTAAATTAATTAACCTTTTTTAAATTGACATGAAGGCAAGATTGTATTACTTGATATCTAATCCTGTCTTGTGAGTGATTTTACCACAATATCACTGACAATGCTGACAATAACAATAAGAAAGAAGAAATGCTATGTCTCGATCTAATTTTAACAGCTTATTTGTTATAGTTGAAGCAGACAAGTTTTCACTTCCAATTTGTAAGAGCCTTTCTTTTGGAATTGAGTCAAATGCTCGCTCTCCGTTTCTCTTTCCCTCCCCACCTGCTGTCTGTCATCCATGATCTAGGGATCGTTTTGACCAGAGTTGAGGGCTTGTTTGTAACTGTCCAGGGGGATTGATGGAGTTAACTTGGCTCTTTGGCCTCTCACCTCTGGCTGTCGGTGGCCAGGCTCACCAGACGCACTAAACCTGAGCTATGGCAAGTGAAGAAGAAGGAAGAAAAAAAGCCCTGTGTATACACACCGCTATCCACGCACCAGTTAAATCACACAGGAGCATTCATGTAAACACTTCGACTCATACAAATAGGTAGTACCCTGGTACCGGAGTGATACCGGTGGTGTTTTGCATTCCACAGACATCAGATAAAAAAAACGTGCACACAGAAGAAGAAAAAAAAACTGACCAAAGCTTTTATTCATCTTACAAATACAAGTCATTCCACTTACCCATAGCAAACACTGCACACTCTCTTCCTGCCAATTGTTAAACCATAGCTTGATTTATCTTTGAGTGCGTGCGCATGCATGAATTCCCAATGTGAGCGTGTGATAGGCAGAATGGATGTTGATAAACACCGGAGGACGTCGTGTCAAAACAGACAACTTGTCAAAACGACACGCTAACTAGGTCAATCACAAAGTTTAAGGAGAAACTTTGGAGTGGAGCTTTGGTTTATGCATATCTCTACCTGGATGTCTATGTGTGTGTGATAAGCTCCTGAACGAATCTGCAGGAGGGGACCTCCAATATCGAAGGTATTTTTAAATCAATGAGCTCTTAAGTGCATCCCAGTCTCAATGTGTTCACACATAACGCACGCACACAACACTCGGCGTAGATAGAATCCCCACTGACAGGCAATGACAAGATAAAGAGAGGGAGGAAAAAAAAGAGGTGCGCAGGTGGGGGGGGACAACGACAGGAGGGGGAGAAATAATATTTGAACAGTTGGGGGTGGGTGGGGTAGTGAAGAGGGTGGTGGGGATGAAACAGAGATGTGGCAAGGCAAGAAAAGAAATGAGCAATAAGTGAGATCAAGAGAGAAAGCAAGGCGAGAGAGAGCGAGAAAAAAATCTGTAAGTTTTTCTGACAGTTGTAAAGCGCTGTGACCAGGACCCACGTCTGTCCCTGTCCAACCTTGAAGGCTCGAACAACTTTAGTCAACACCGCTTACCTTCCACTGTACTGCTCCTACTCCGTTCTTTTGTTTGCTTTCACCTCTTTTTCCACTTTAAATAGGAGGGCATCTGAATTAGTTTTCCAAAAGTGCTTCATACACAACTTGTGCGTCCTTGCATTTTAAACTAAAGTCCAAGTGAGGAAGCTGAGGACACACTAGGCAGGAGAGTTAGCAGCAGATTAAAAATAAATAGGATTATAGTGCACACATCTGTTTTGAAACACAGCTTCATTTACTGTTCTTTAGTCTCCGCACGCATAGAGTGAGATATTTTAAGATTTAGAGTAAAGGATCTGAAAGGTCGTGCCTCACATATAGCTCTATGGCGAGATTTTGTGGCTTTTACTGTCCAGCAAAATTGAACGTGAATCCTCAAGTCAAGAAATCCCCCGTTCTGCTTCCTGTGCACATTTGTGATCTGTGATCTTTAAAGAAGAGTTTGTGTGCGTGTGTGTCTTTTGGTCCTGGGAAGGTGAAGTAGATTATTTCTACAAAAAAAGCCGCTTGTGATGTTAATGATTTTATTATTGACACAAGGTGGTGGTGATGGTGGGTGGGGAGGGGGAGGGAGAGACAAGACTTCAACCTCATGTCTCAGTCGCAACAACATGTGGCTGTTCACATGATGTTGATGATGATGTGCGAGTTAGTTAGAAAAAAAGGATTCGGGATTAAAAAGGTAGGAAATTAAAGGGATTAAGGAGGAAGTTGTGCCCGTCCGATTCCTGACAAGCCTGGCTTCATCAAAAGGGTGTGTTTTTAATAAGGCTCTAAATTTAAGACTGGACATTTACATAAAAAAGGGCACACATCTGCTTTTATTTGACAAATTTCCTGTGTCATATATGTTGTGTTAGCCACAAAAAAATTAAAAAATACAGTAAAAAAATGTCAACAGCAAACCGTAGCTGTCCTGCAAACATCAGTATCAGTGTTTGGTGAAATGTTGTTTTAACAGAAAAAAAATGATACCGCAGGGAGAGGAAAAAAGATTTAAACAGATGTTTCAGTGGTTTCTTATATAAATCTAATATAAATGCCGTGTCCACGCTGACTTCCCAAGAATTTCAGATAATTACGATTTTAAAGTGACTAGAGTACTTGTTCTCTGCAGCGAGAGCAGACTGCGTTCTCTTTTTATTCGAAGGAAAGAAGTGCAACTGTAAGTGAGAGGGCGAGCGAGTGCAAGAGAGAGTGAATCAGCAGAGTACATTTAAGATGAAGGAGAGAGTGTTGACAGTATTTGTTCAGCTGTGCTAATGTTTGGACATTTAGAGCCGCAGCGAAAAGAAAAAAAAAACACTTAATGCAAAGTTCTCCGTTTCATTTAGATTTGAGAGGGAGCAGGGGCGCTCGCTCGCGTTCCCGCACACCTACTGCAGCCACCGTCCACACAACGACGGAATGAAGTGTGCATGAGGGAATGCAAAGCTGCAAGTGTGTGCGCCCTTGTGTGGGTGTGCGAGAGAGGGCTTGTAATACATCAGAGAAAACCAGTTTTTGTGCATAAAGCAAGGCCAGATGTGAAGCAGAAACCAGATCCCTGAGAGCTGTGGTCCATCCTTTGACTTAACCAGCACAAACATAAAAGACTTAAACACACCCACACGTATAACATGTGCACGCAGTTGCACGTGCACAGGTAACTGCATGAAATGTATGTGCGCGACAAAACACATGAGCACAAAACCATTTTAGAAATTATTTAAAACTCTCCTGTATGTGACAGCTTAGCTTCGGTGACTTGTTTTTAAGGAGCTGAACTTCAGTGCACCTGCTTTCATCGTGAAAATGAACTCCTGTGCACCCCCTAATTAAATTTCTTAAATTTACCCAAACTCCCATATAACATGAGCTACAGAGGAGCATTTTTAAATGGGCACTCTAATAAATGGCTGACTACTGTAACAATAGACTCGTGGATAGCCAGCAAAATTCTGAACTTAACCTTCACCCTAAAAAATACGTTGAAAAAGCGTATTGTCAGTGAAGAGGCATCCCAGTGACAAGGACCGAACCTCATGTGCTGTGTTCTGTTTTTTTACAATTCCGAGCCCTTGAAATTTCCCAACGGCTTTGGGAAAGGTATCTTTGCAACCTGGTTAATTGAAGGTTAAACACAAACCACTAAGCACTAACATATGCTTTTGGTGTATCGTATAAAGGGCAGAGCAGGACAAAAAAAACAGGTCTTAGAAGCAATGTAGCACGTGACCACGTGATTTCCCAGCTTCGCCACAATCCCAGCAGTAGTGAAGCTGAAATCCCATTTTAGCGGAACAATCAAAATTTTTGCCAAGTCTGTCTTCATCAAAAGTATGTGTTTTTAATAAGGCTCTAAATATCAGAACATCCTATTACCCATTATCTAAAACCTTATTATCAGCACTATTGTAGAAATAGACAATGCCTGTCACAGTGAATATTACATTTGAAAATTTCATATTTAAATGAATCCCTCACCTACGCGACCCATCTTATCAGTCCCATTGTGGGGAAAGACAATGCATTACATTAAAGTGAATATTATATTTAATCTCCCATCCAGTAGAAATTTCGTATCTCTAGATTAACCAATTTTCTTCCAACGTGCCCGCTTTCTGTAGAAACTCTTGCTTTAATGGTGAGGTGGAAAACTCGCCTTTAACGTACCAATTGTCAACAATTTGAGGGGGAAAAACACGCACACGCTTCGGTTTAATTGTAAAACGACAAAGTCAAACAAAGCAAAGATTTTACAAGAATTCATATTTTAATATTTGAATTAAGACCTTGGAGACGAAGCTGATTACCTTCTTTTCACTGGTGCGACGCTCGAGAGCTAATTCCAGCTGTAGACGTCCAACCTCTTTGCTCGCATGGTGCAGCTGGCCTAAGATCTGCTGTCTGTCTGCATTCAGGTTGGTGGTGGTCTGATTCAGGGCATTCGTGATATCACTTAACATACCTTCACTTATTCGTAACTGCAAGGTTAGCAGAGACAGGAAGAAAGGCAAGGATGATGATCTGAAAGTACTGTTTGAGGTTAGGACCTTTAAGCCCACCGACAGACAAAAAGAAAGCTGTGGTGGACCAAAACGCAAGGAGAAGAATGAGCGACCCATTGCAAGAAAATACAAATAAGAGAGGTGGGAGATGAAAGTAAAATTTAGAGACGTTTGCTTCTGTTTTTTCTCCGTACAAGTGAAAGGGAACATCATAAAGGCTTTGTGCCAGGCTAGGGACCCCTACAATTACCGCTTTGACTCGGGACCAATAAAACTGCTTGACTACTCGTCATAAAGTTGTAGGACGCTAACCGGAGCAGTGCTTCTAAAACCTGGAGGCAGAGCTCTCACTGTGTTGTGATCCTTTTGTATCTCCTCTACATCAGATGCATCAAAAAGCTTTTCATTAAAAGAAAAAAAAAAGCATCACATGATGTTTAGCTGGGCCACGGCCCTTTTTCTTTGTAACATACAAAATCACGCCGGCAACAGAAAGCAACCTGTTTATTTTCAGACACTTACTTAAACCTTTGACACCGCAAATTTTCAAACTCGGCCCCAGAACATCAGTAACATGATGAAATGAAAATACAGTGTTACACTTATTGCATTTAAGCTGCTGGCGCCTTCTGAATACACCAGTGATGTCAAAAAGGTAATAAGGAAATTAAGTTAGTGTTAGAAAAGTAAGGGCATAAAGTCGGCATCTAAGGGCCCGCTGTTTTTATGTCGAATGTATTTCATTTAGCTGGCTGACAGGCACCCACCATGCTAAAACACTAAGGAGCAGACAAATGACTTGGTTTGGCCAAGGACACAGTAAATAGGTTAATTTAAGCCTAAAACACATCACTGCCACACGCCACTCTGATATACCTAGAGGGGTGAGAGGGGGAGGAGGAAAAGAAGAAGAGAGAATGAAACAGAGAGGGAGCGAGAATAAAAATAAAGAGAGGGAGAGAGAGGACAGTGAGAGAAACCTAAAGGCCATTCCATTCATCATGCGTACGACTCTTTAATGTTCACATTCATTACCACTGATTCTCATTGGGGCAAAAGAGAGAGAGAGGCTGGACAAGGGAGATGAGAGAGGAAAAAGACAACAAAGGAAGCAAAAAAAAAAGAATGATCTGAAGAAAAATAATTAATAGAAAAGAAAATCAAGCCAACATTTAACCCCTCCCCCCATCTTGTTCCTTCTAATGGCTAAGTGATATTCACACAAACATGCTTCTTTAATGTACGAGGCTACCCTCTGCGGAGCTAAGATGGTGGGGATGAGTTATTAAATATGGAGAGAGGGCAAGAGAGGAAAGGCGGAGGAGGAGGGGAAGAAGGACTGATGATTAACTGTGAAGGAAGTAAAAAAATGAGGAGAATTCCCCGATGTACCTCGCTGGATTTGATTTAGAGAACGATGCCCAGTTCTGCTCCTTGTTTAAGAAGATCTCCTCTCCTCTGTGTGCGAGCGTGTGAAAGACAGAGCGCGCTTACCCACCGTGCTCTGCCGTGTGGCTGGGCTGTCTTTGAGGATGGCATTCTAGTTTTCTCCTTTATGACAAATGTTCTCTTCAGAGACTTCTATGTGACTCGCAAACTAACCACATCCTGGGCGAGGGGCTTCGCATGAGCCTCCTCAGCTTGGAGGTTTTCTACCTGCAAATAAAAAAGTGCTCAGAGGCACCCTTTCGCCTCAATCGAAGATTTCCCGTAGCGTTTGCGAAACTACCAACAAGATGTGGTGGTTTCAGTTACAGAAGATAAACAAGATGTTCGTTTCAAGTAGTGCTGACACTTTGTGGATTTTTATTTTTATTTTAGATTTGTTTATTTGGTCAGGATTTCTGGAAAGATTGTGCTGAGTTGTATTTCTGTAATGTATTTTTTGGCTCTTTAAGCACGACTTTTAAGTGCTGTTTGCATTCATTACATTCAAGAGAGGGCAGGCATTTCTACAGCCAATATTCCCAGTGATTGGTAACTTACACCATATAAATAGCAGTACGGGCCAGAGATGTCATGATCCCTGGCTTTTTGTGCCAGGTTTTTGAGTTGCGTCTTCTGGTTTATTATTTAGTTGGGCTTCTTTACTCTACTTAAGCGCCTACATTTTGAGTTATGATTTCCTCATTTTTGTTCTATGTATATTTATGTTTTAGCTCATTAGTTAGCATTTGTGCTTAGTTCCCACACTGTCTAATGTAGAACGTTGTGTGTTTCTTTGTGTTTAGTTTTGGGGTTGTGAATTCTTAAGTTATAGATTAATGGCAGGTTTTTCCGTTACTTTATGGTTTTAGTTCTTTCTGTATTTCATATTTTTCAGCTGTTCCTCTGTCTCGCTCTGTGTTTATGCCTTGGTCCCCTTGTGTTGCCTTTTTCTGTTCATCTTGTTAAGTAGTAATATTCAGATTAGTATTGGTCTTCTTTGGCTATTCCCTGATGTGCCTTCAGCATGTGCTCTTCTGCTTCCTTGTGTTTTCTTGTGTTGTTGTAGTTCTCTGGGTTATGTTTTCGTTAGAGATGGCACGATACCACTTTTATATGTCCGATACCGATACCGATATCATAAATTTGGATATCTGCCGATACCGATATGAATCCGATATAGTGTTTTTTAATCAACAAAACTGTTTTTTAAATATCTTGCTGCATTTTGTATAAGTTCATACTCAAGTTTAAAACAACAACTACACTAAAGCTATTCTGTTATACCTGTATGCAAAAAAAATATTTCATAGTTCAGCAATACTGATCAATCTAATAAACTTAAACCTACACCATCCTCCCTATTCTGGTATTTTAAAGAGTACTTAGCGTAAATATTAAGCAACCTAACTAATAGGGTTCCAACTCCCAGCAACAACAAAAATAAATAAATAAAAAATAGGGAACCACCCCTCACACTCCACCTCATGATGCTTAATCGACGTAATCAACCTTAATTTGATGCAGTGTGAAAAAAAAATGCACAGAAATCAATTATTTTTCAAGAAATATTAAATAGATTCAACATCTTTCTTCAACAAAATTGCAGACTGCACAGATGGTACCTTCCCAAAGGAAAAACTACTATAGCTTACTAGGGTATATTAGACTTAACAGTCACTATATACAATAATGGACTTCTATACATTTTACATCAGATTAAAACTTTGGGTGTAAGATTCAGATAAATATTAAATAATTAAAAGCTCGACATTTTAAATGAGAATAAGAAAGAAAATTATGTCTTTGTGCCCCCTTTTCCCTGTTAATGCCCTATCGGCCCCCCTGGCTAAACTTTGCTAGATCCGCCCCTGCACAGTTACCAGCGTCAGCTACGTAGAAAAAGATCCTGGTGTAGAAAGTAATAATAAATAAATTCTAACAACAGCTTATCGAGCTTAAACGTGCTGCTGTTGTTCAGCCGCTGGTTTCCTCTTTCTGGTGCAAAGTGGGCCAAAAACAAACCAGAGACACGGACTTGCGACAGAAAAGCCGATCAGCTGATCGTTAAGCAGTTTCATGATTGAAGTAGCAGCCGGAGAGCGAGAGGCAGTCGCTAGTTAAGCTTAACGCAGGAATGCTTTACAAACATTCAGAGATGGACTTACACACTTGCTTTACTTCTCTCGGGGTAACTTTGTCAGAGATGAAATGCCGGGTTGCTAGCGAAGCTCCACATGCTATCCAGACCACCGACAGGTCCCGCATGCCACAGCCGCTCTATCACGTGATGCATACTGCTCCGACGTGCTAACGTTCTGAGGTGAGTTACGGTGTGTTGCAAGTTTTGTGAGGTGCTTTCGTGATATTTAATGGATCGGATTACATTTTTTATTTTTCTCCGATATCCGATCCAGTAATTTAGGTCAGTATCGGACCGATACCGATACGTAATATCGGATCGGTCCATCTCTAGTTTTCGTTTGGATGTCTAGTAGCAGGTTTGGGCTTTTATCAGCTTTTATTATTCTGCCTTGAGTCTTTTGCATTTGGATCTGCCACCTTGGATCCACCTTGGATCTGGTCAGAGGACCCGGTGGCGCCAGTGTCCGGCAGCCTCGCCTCTGTCAGTGCGCCCCAGGGTGGCTGTGGCTACAATGTAGCTTGCCATCACCAGTGTGTGAATGTGTGTGTGAATGGGTGGATGACTGGTTGTGTAAAGCGCTTTGGGGTCCTTAGGGACTAGTAAAGCGCTATACAAATACAGGCCATTTACCATTTACCTTCACACTACAATCCATAGCCTATTGTAGCACGAAGGAATTTCATCAACTTGAACTTGGGGTGAACTGTCTCTTTACCAGCAATTTATGATTTCATTCATATGGACAGCCAATTTAGGATTTAGCTAACTTACCTAGCAGGCATGTCTTTTTGACTGTGGGAAAAATCTGAATCTGAGAAACCTTGGCAAGCACCAGGAGAACATGCAAACGCCACATAGAGTTTGCATGTTCCTGGAGACCAGGAGAAGCAAAACTGCTAATCACTGCACCACAGTGCCGCTCTAAGTAACTGTTGGTGTGTACGGTGTGCGTTACTGCACATGAATTTGCGCTTGAGCAATTACTGATACAAAAAGACCAATAATTTCAGAGGACGCAGACAGTGGGTGAACTCCTCACCCCAAACATGAATGTGAGTGTGTGTGGGCCCGTGGTTCAGATCCCACTTAAATCAAAGCCTCTATTCATTGGGACTCTGTTAAATGGTCCTGTGTTAGATTAGCAAGGAAGCTCCGCAGAGAGTCACAGCAAACACACTTTGAGATACCATACCATACCTTTGTATGCACGTGCACGCACTAGTCGAAACGCCTGCATATTTTTATTTCTATCAAACTGGATGATATAAGATCAGGTCATAACAAGATGCAGATATAACCACAAAAAAAATATGGAGCTAAAGACACACTCAAAGTGAACACGGCCACCAGGAGCAGACTGTGGTTAGGGGCATGTGTCTTGGCGCAGTCACAACCTACCTCTGCCTCCTTAAGTGAGCCTCCCAGAAACACTTCCTAGCATTAATATGTCCCACCCAACACAGTGCAACAGTGAGTTAAAGGTGGTCATCAATGCAGTTAAATTATCTACAGCTTTGCTAATGGATGGTAACAATTATAAGCAATGGGCCACCCAGTATTATTGCAATAATGAATTAAAATCTCTCTTTTATCTGGATTATTCACCCCAGTTTTTTGTGTGACTATTGGGAAATAAGTTTCACAAAAACTAGGACAATAACGTGTTCATTTCATCGCTTCAACCAAGTTCAACATATTACACCAGAGAGCAAAAGTTCTTTATGTTAAACCATCTACGGCGCAAGAGGGATTTCAAATGAAAAATGGACATTTGGCAAAAGAGCACATTTTTACACATTTTAAATATTATTGCCATCAATGTTAAACCAAGTAAAAGCAATAAGATCTAATTAAAAGTCAGCTTCTGTAAATGTTTTACTATACTTACTTATGACTGCAATCCGGACTGTACGACAATAGCCATATTTCACATGCAAGACACAATTAAAGGCAGTGTTCTGTGTCAGCTTAGTTACTAGACAAAGTCTTCGCTAATATCCAATATTAAAACTCGAGAAATATAACGTTTTAAAGGCTTATATACCGGTGATAGGGTGCAAAAGAAGCTTGGATTCATGGTAAAGTGCCCAGGAGCCAAAAGGAAGAGCGATGTAAAGTGACTGATAGTCTTTATTCCTGTTATCTAGTGCCAACATCATGGTGTTTTTTGCTCTTGTGAACAAGTAGAGACTGAGTATTATTTTTGCAGCAGCAATCAAGCCTTTCTTGGAAACGAAGTCACATTTACCTTGGAAAAACATCCAAATTTGAGTTACTCACAGGGCTACAAACAAGGTAATTCAAAAAGCCTATGTTGTCACATCTAATTTGTTATGAGTCTGTATAACAGGATGTTGACATTTTCTTATTCCCACTCACTGCGGGTCAGGCCTGTTGATCCAGCTAGTTAAAGATCTCAGTGTCTGCCAAAATCCCTCCTATAGCTCAAGGTCTTTACAGGTCTGACTTTCTCCATAATATTGTTACATAATTAATACATTAGGGTCATTTTTTCCCCATCTCCAAATCTGCCACCATCAGAGATGATTAAAAGTTCCCATGTGGTCTCTGTGAAGTCTTAATTCTCCAGCAGAGGAGTATAGGACCTTGGCTGAGAGTCCGGAAGAAAGAATATCAGATTTGTGATTTTATTTCAAATGAGTGCTTAAGCCCTGGACTTTCATATTAGTAGAGCTCCTATTGAGAGAGAAACCTCAATCTGATCAAGTCTCATTACTTTAGCAATCAAAGTTTCGCCCCTGGGGTCCTCCCCTCAACTCCTGCCTCCCACCTCCTCCCGTCTCCCGTCTTTTTTTTCTCCCCCTCTGCTCGCCATCATACATTTCTGCCACCAAGGCAGAGAAGAGGAGAAAGGGAGAATGGCTTGCGCAAATCCTTGATTGGCCAAAGTCTATCCTCCATCTAGGATTACAAATAGAAATGGAACATTTGAGGACAAAGGAAGGAGGGGTAAGATGGGAAGAGACAGAGAAGGAAGAAGGAGATAGATAGTGTGTTAGGGAGAGATGTGAGTTGCAGAGTTATGGGCACAGAGAAAGACAGAGAGAGAGAGAGAGGGTGGCTAATATAATTGAATTAAAAAGATGGAGCGGGGCCATTTCTAAGCAGGTGGGAGTGTGGAGTGAGAAAGAGCAGGCGAGATATTAACTTCTAATAAAAGAGAGATTAGAAAGTGGCTGGGAGGACTGCTCTGTCTTTACCTGTGGGAGTGACGGCCCCCACATAACCTTTCACTGCAATATGCACACTGATATTGGCCACCATATTATGAGCATGCTACACACAGACAGACGAATACATGAGCATTCACGCGCACACGCACATTTTTTACCTGAAATAACCACACACACACACACACACACACACAGTACATACAGTATATATACACACATATATGCAGGAATATACGACATTTGATGAGACGTACAAGCGGGCGCACACACAGAGTGCATTATCAGCTCTCAAGTAGTGATCCAACAGGCAGCAGCTATCAGATAATGAAGACGCAGCTCTTTGGGAAGCTTCTGCCATACAGACAATTAATTAACTAATTGGTCTAATGAGCTTGTTAATGCCACGCTTTTTTTTGGCAGGCTGTGTGAATACATTAACGAGGCTAATTCAATTAAACAGGTGCAGATTTCACAGCTGCCTCTCTCATGAGCATGAACGCACACGAGCGCACACACACACACAAATCCTACAGGTGTTGTGTACATGCTCGCTTCATTTGACTCTGACGTCTTTCTCAGCGAAAACCTTGGCATTCGATCAAAAGCATAATGATATGCAGATCAAGTGGTGTGTACTTGTGTGTGTGTGTGTGTGTACGTCAGTCAGTGCTTGTGCCTCAATGGGCTGGTGTTCCTTTGAATCAGAAGTACAGCTCAATAAGCTCTACTAGCAATGGTAATCTGTATAATTGAAAGGGTATAAAATAAGTGGGTGGAAAAGTGATTGAAGCGCTAGGATGGCGTAGTTAAATTAGCTAACAGAATCCCAGGGGTCAACCAATAATGTTAGCCAAGGGTTCACAGTGCAATGCAATTCATTTACTCAAAAGCTTTTCAGTACTGTATGTTTATTTGTGTACTTATGTGTTTGACCAAAAAAGACTATGACCCACGTGTTAAAAACACTAAGCATGTCTTCTCTTGAAGTTACTCTTTCCCATTTCTTGGCAGCCTTCGCTCACAAATGCTCTTACAGCGAAGCAGCAATTCATTATAGATAAATAGGACTCATTCATTGAAGAATCTGTAAAATGTCTTTAAATTTTATACAAACATAAAAGAAGCATTTGAAGTATGTGCTTGTGTACCCTTTGCGTGCATTTTACCTTTTGCCTCGTTCCATTCAGCTCGTCAGTTAGTTGCTTAATCCTCGTCTCTTTCTCCTCCACCATTCTCTTGAAACGATTGCGGAGCTTGTCTTTCAAATGCACCATTTTGGCCTTGGTCTGGAGCAGAAAGAACAGTATTATTTAGTCATTGTCATAAACTGGAGTCAAAGTGTTAGTCAGTTTACTTTTAACATTGCTTCTATCGTTGTTAAAATTGATCGAGAGAAGCAGTTATGAGCAAAAGTGTTGTAGATTTTTTTAAAAGAATCAAAATAAAGTTTTAGATTCCTGCAAAATGTCACACTATGATTTCGTCACAGTGATTTTCTTGCTCTGCACACACATTAATATGTTTATACACTTAGATTACATTATAATGTACATGCAAGCATTGAGACTGCCTCAAGGCTAAGCTCATGCACAAATGCAAACAAACATTGGAGTGCTGGACTGATGACACTGGGCTTATCTAATGTGAGGTCAACAAGCGACTGTGCTTTTCTTGTGTGTGTGCAGTGTATATGCACGCTGATTTAATGGGTTGTTACACCGATACAACAGAAGTTCCCTCACAGGAAGACTAAAGCACTAAGATTCAAGCCAGAGTACGGTTCTGAACTTACCAGTGACTAATGCATTGCTAATCATTCAATATTTAATCCATACATGAAAAGAAAGAGCAGAAAGTTTGATTCCTTTACACTACCACACGATGGGAAATCACTAATTGCTGGAATATTTTGTAACTGGCAGAAATAGTGTTAACTAAACTTGCCGGGAGATGATACCACTGATTAATTTTCTCCAGCTTCATCATATCCACCCCTTTTCCCTATACATAAGTCTGCTTTCTCTCCCTCCCCCAATCCCCTTCAGCCATTACTGAATACTAAATCAGACCCCCCCCCCCCCCCTTTTTTTTTTAATTTCCACACAACCTAGTTTCATTTTTCTCCTTGTGTCATTTAGCCTTGACATAGCATAGCATCTTATGCGTTAGGTATGGCTGATGTGAATTTATTGCTATTGTTATCTTTTTTCCATTTGCTGCTTGTCTGTCCAGCTGTATGCTATACATGGCTAAATCATTACCTGTGCATGTGGTACACATATTGATTCCCACCATTAGTAATTTGCAGTAAAATCTTGACAGTTCGACGTGCTAACACAGCTGTGTTTAAGAACCAAACAGCACCAAAAGTGTTCTTTTCGTCAAAGCACAAATATCGCCAGAGGTATTTTGTGTAATGTTTGTTTCTTGTAGATAATAATGAAGTCTGTGTTTGAGAGTACACCATATGTATGTTTGTGTGTACATGTTAGCTAGGGAGAAGGGAAATAGAGGTGATTGTATACAGCTACAGTGTGTTTTCTGCTGATTTTTGCCATTGCATTCTGCTGCTTATGGACACATATTAAAGCTGTAGCTGCTACACAGTGAACTCCAAACACAGCTTGAAGTTTATACCACAAATGTAAACAAGATTCGTCTATGTACAGTAATGAATATTCCTATTATCCCTGAGTATATAAAATCCCAATGAGCAGTGATCTTAGCATCTTAGCTTTGGCTAAAACCTCTATGGGGGGGATTAAAACTTCCTTAATGCATGAAAAACCTTGTTTTGTGTGTGCAGATACTAAAGTGTCCATGTGTAACTGCAAATAAAATCTCATTCTCTTTAACAATCTCAGTAGCCCACACCAAAAAAATCTCCCTTTTTGTTCTTCTTCTTCTTCATCATCAATCCATACAACTGTTAAAAATCAAAACAACAAAAGCTGAGCAGAAACCGTAACATGCACAATTTGTGCGTGCTCACTGGGTTTTGTCAGCGCGAATAAATATTCATTTATTCTTATGTTTGTCGACAACGCTTTTCTATCCTACCACTAGGCTTCTTTGTCCTGCACTCAGAGAACTTGGGCTGCTCTAAGGTTCTGGGTTTTCTTCTCTTAAGTTGTTGTGTCTTCCTGTCATCATATTACTTCTCATCACCTGCTTGCATAGCCTGGAACCTCGCCCTGGAAACTGGAGAAGTGGGAAGTGATTTGGAAAAATGAGGGCAATAAAAAAAAAAGCACAGGGATGAATGGAGAGATGTGATATAAGGTTATATGCTAACCCAATCAGCAGGCTGCTGTTTGCCGACAGTATAATCAACATATCGGCCTAATGTCATTACAGCTATATGAGAAATAATATTGCGTGAAATGATATTGTGCGGCGCACGCGTGTCTGTGCGGCACACACATGAACTAGCTCCCACGTCCAGATGTATGTAGCCCCCAGCACTTCTTTGGCACAAAAAGACACAAAGATGCAAAATCGTGCATGAATGCAGACATGGCGCAAAAGACTGTCCTTATCGAAAAAACAATTTCAGGATGATTCATTAATTGATCACCTGATGGTTTTCATTGATTACATAAAAAAATACAATTATAATATTATTTCATCCCACTGGTAATTCATTTTTCAAGATTTTAAACAGTAAAACCAAATTTATCAGGAAAAATAGATCACTTCAAATTTAATTACTGTTTTTATTTCATGTGCACAGCATGTGCACGTGTATATATTTGTACAGTCACACAAAAAGGATGCCCACTGGCTCTGACACAAAAGGATATTAGTTAGTGTGTGGCTTCCATATCCTGAATGCATGAGCTGCTGATGGCCTCTATTGATGGACACTGGCGTGAAGCCATCACTCAAGTTATGGAGCTTTAATTGGAGACAGCATAAAACGATAAACCAAGAAACATGCATGGCTGAACAGCCCAATGTAAACCATTAATCATAGCATAGGCAAAGACAAGTGGCCGCCGCATACACACGTGTGAGCAGCTGCAGCGGTGCACGCAGACTGCTCTCGCACCACACACCTTGCATATGTGTGCATGAAACACACGCACACAGACACACACACACACACACACACACACACACACAGAGCAGAGACAAGAGACCCAGTCACATATTCTCATGATAGATGACCCATTTAACTTTGATTTCTGAGAGAAATGAGCTTGCCAGTGATACAGGGTTACCACACACACACACACACACACACACACACACACACACACACACAGAGGCGCATACACTTACTCACTCATTCATGATATACATTGATACTAAACATGGGTTACATATATGAAGTCACACAATGCATTCAGTTTATATGCAAATAAGAGTTTGCTTTATTTTGCAGACCAGTGTGCAGTCCCTCTCTCCCACATGTGCGCGTGCACACACACACACACACACACACACACACACACACACACACACACACACACACACACACACACACACACACACACACACACTTACTCTGCCTCATATTTGCATGTAAAGCCTTATAATATGGGGCTGATTTGTGATGTAAGCAAGAAGTAAATCGTTCAGCTCTGTCTATCATACCTCTGCTCTCCTTTCAAATATGACTACTCTCTCTTACTCTCTCTCTCTCACACACACACATACAGAAACTAACACAAAAAGACAGACATATGATGTGTTTTCATAACATTTGATGGTGTTTTTTTAAATATTATATTATATTTTTTACCTAACAGCTGTAATGCTTGGGAAACAAGTCACCAGTGTCAGCACTAAAAGTTAGTCCCAAACAAGTTAAACAGTGCATCTCAAATCTTTTTAAACAGCTGAAATTGAATTGCCTTGAAGCTCTTTTATTACTTAACCGCTGCGGCTAATTAACACTGACTTCCACATGCAACCTGGCGATGAAAAATCAGAGAAATCCTGGGACAGTTACAGATCTAGGCGAGGGGGGGAGTGTTTATTAGATAGCAACGGGAGTGGGTAGAGATGTGATTAATTTGAAGAGGGAAGGCTGCATTGAGGAATTTCCTGAAAAGATGAATCCTCACATTTAAAGGGAATATGAGAAGTGACTGCTGCTCTGACTGAAGCAAGAAGGCTATTCTTCCAAATGGGAGAGAAAAGAAGAACTAAGGAAGCCCAAGGTCTCAGTGTCAGTGGGTTGATCAATTCAGTAGGCTGACATGAAACCGGAGGAAGACAGAGATGACAAATATTTCATATTTATTTCTTTTTTTAACTTAAAAAAATTGAATTATTTACCTCATGTGCCTGCTGTCAAATACTCAAACATTTCTTTCTCACCTTTTATACAATGACTAATTATCTCCTGTAAAGTTATATTGTTGCAGTCCAGGCCTTTTCACATTTGGTCCTTGATTGCAAATGCTAAAATTCGACTACACCTTACTACAGCTGCTGTCCAGTGACATATGAGACAGTGTTGATATTTAGACAGATGGATGGTATAAATAGAGGGATAAAAACCTATCAAATGCACACAAACATATAACATGTGCACACACACACACATACACAAACGCACGTTCCATACAGCAGGCTGCAGCCCCTCAGCGCTCCTCTGTCCTCACATGCTTGGTTTCCCCATCTAATTGCTGCCATTCGTCAGTGTGTGTGCGTGTGTTTTGTGTGTGTGCACATGTGTGTGTGTGTGTGTGCGTCTGAATTCATACACTCCTGTACTTTGTGTTTTTTGTGTTCCCTTCATAATTTTGTCTGTGTGCATTTACAAACAAGCACGGTGAAAAGAGAGAAAGTAGCATCATCAGACAGACAGGTAAGACTGGGAAAAGAGAAAGGGAGAAAGACAGAAAGATACAGAGGCAGACACACACACACACACAGAGCTGTCACAGTGCCATAGGGCATACAAAACCTGTCAGCGTTTAAAACTACCGGCTTGTACCCTGCCTTGCCAATTGGAATTAGTCTCACATCATATGCCATTTTCTTTGTCAAAAGCAACAGCTATTTTATTCTTACTACAACTAAACACAACAGTTTAAATACAATCAGAATCACTTCACTAAGTACCATAAAAGTCGGCATATTTGTTATTTCCCGAGTCAGTTTTCGCATGGTTCAGAGATTAAGAATTTGATTGTGCATATAAGAAATGCCGTTGCACACAGTGAGGCACGTTAAGCAACAAGGAATAGAAAAATGCACAAATGAAACAAAAGGCCATAAATGAATACAAATCGATATTTGAGATCACTGGCTAAGAAGCTTCCAAATAATA